CCCCCCCCCCCCCCCTCTCTCACACTACAATTTCACCGAAGCACATAACCAAACTAGGATCGGTAGTCATTCTCCTGTAATCAGGGCCGGCCAGCAATGTCTAGACACCCCAAAATAACGTGCTATAGCGAACCGCGACGCAACCGCTCACACGTAGGGTTTGTCTACTTCGTTGTTTGAGTTCTTCTTCAAAATCCTAAAGCATTAGGTATTTACGATACTGCTTTGACTATTCAGTATGTTTCAATCGATAAGGCAGGATGGTAAAGTAATGTGACAAAAGTAAATGGTAAGGGCAATGATATTGACCCATTAGCCGCACTACGATAAGCAGATGAGGATTTTGTTCATTTCTCGCTGTAAGATCACGGCCGCTAGCCAGCAAGGTTTGTGATTTCATGAGGGATCCTCTTCGTTCGATATCACTTGCGACCAAACTTAATCGACCACCAGTAGTCTGGAACTCTTATCTAATCCAATCTATCTCTTATCTATCTCTTATCTACCACTGAAAAGAAAAAGGTCCATTGATACCATCCTTTGATAATGGTGTTATCATCACACGAAACATTTATAAGTACTGCCCAAAGCTTTGGTTGCTCAGCAGTTGAATCTTTATTGGGTACTTATTCCTAAGAAAAAGAGCAAGAGAACGAGACTCTCAATTTAACGTGTAAACACCGACTTACACTGAATACCATTTCCACTGCTCAGTTAGTCCTGTGACAAACTTCGTGTACAGCAAAAAATTGTTTGTTCCAAGGAAGGAGAAGAGTTAACCAATGACTACAACTTCGCCGAAGAAGGAGGGCAGCCCAGCGTTAGCCGGGAGAAACGACTGGTATGTACATATATAAATGCCTGTAATCTACATATACATGTAGCCTACTTTGTGTGTCCGTTTGTATGCCGTTTTGTCTTTCAATTTGTAAAAAGTCACGAAGTGAGAAGATTAAAATGCAACGTATCATTTGGGGACGTGTCGGCAACCCGCTATGAAAGAGAAAGTCTGTTGATACTGTATGCATCGATCTCCTCACCAATACCGATCATTTTGTGTAGTTATTGACTGACAAAGCCAACCTTTTTCCACGTGGAGGGAGTCCAGTTATGGCACCTACCATCAGCGATCTCATCCATCTCCCTGTGTTCTTTCGAAGTTCAAACACTGAACACCTTGAGTTCACGTCGACAGGATTTAAGTTACTCTGGTTCAATAGTCGTCTTTGCGCACGCCCCCCCCCCCTCCCATCCCCCCGGAAAAAGTCGGTTTGCTACCAACAATCAGCGTCTCCATTGTGCCGCGCATATCACACCTACACCTAGAGAGAAACCAATAGACACACGAAAATATATAGAGGATATGTGTACATATATATACAGATATAGATATAATAGATTGCAGTACGTTCCAAAAATTTTTTGACCTCTTCACTGGTACGGCCCAAAACGTATGCATCCATTTCTTCCTTCTTCTTAATTTCTCCTGGTTGTTCTCTAGACGATAGCTTATCCTCTCTCCCGTAGAAAGTCTAGATCGTAGGATTCTCAGCAGTGGTGAAGTTGATGAATATTGCTCATAACAGAAGTCACTTTAGAATGTTCAAAAAAAAACGAACTTTGAACTTTACATTTTGTTTTTTAGAGAAATAGTTTCAACACCAACTTTATCACATGCATTACGTGTCGTCTCTAATCATCAATTTGCTTGATATAGCGAAAGTAATATCTCTGCGCATCTCTATTGCGGACCAATGTAATCTTGGGTATTCTGCCTATTCAAGGGACACCAGCTCCAAAATTCCTTTCATCCAGAGATCTAAAGGATTTTTACCCCCGGAAAGGCGGTTATTCTGATGATCATTTGACATCCTGAACGATCAAGGCGGTTACGTCCCGCCCAGAACTCATCCCAAAATCGCACGACGTGTCTCGTTCCGCCTGGTCTTCGATTCCTTGTCGCAAACGACAGAATCCCTGATCTCGGCTCCCGACTTCCCCTTAGATTTTTTTATCGAGAAACTCCAAACATTGTTTTTTCTACATCATGTTAAATGATGCTGTCTGCCTCGATGTTCTTCGGTACTCCTCTCCGCTCAGCTTCGGAGCTAGGCCTTTCATCATGTTCAGTTCATGTGGAGACCGCGTTCACGAAGTCATGTCACAATGAACGGTTAATCGCGATTTAATATGTTACTATATATGTATGTATGTGCGTAATATGTGCGTATATATTGCACAAAGAGAAAAATGAAAAAAAGATTGCAGGTTCGTGAAACACGCTGTGCCTCTTCATTTCGCGAGGAAAATAAGCCACTATAACCGCGATGTTGCTGAACTGTTAAGTTTGATCGTGAAGCTAATAGGAAGCTAAGGAGGACATTGATGTTGTACATGTAACGGCTCCTCTTCCAACAGTCCTTTTGAAATCGACGAGTCCAAAACACAACAGTGTTTATTCCATTGTACTGTTTGGAGTCCTGATTGGCTCACACCCCTCCCGTGTTCTGGTTTTGCCAGTTCTGTAGAATAATGCTTTGAATTTGTGGAATATTAACAGCAGGATCTACATAGTCCACGTCTCACTTCTTGAATAGCTCTCGTTAGTTATATACAAAGTGGGAATCTTGCATTCCAATAATTGCAGCTTGAAGAATCAAGCTAGAAACGTGACGATAACTCCCGAAAACTTCTTGATAATCTGGTCAACCCTGCTCTTGGAGTTCAATGCGGACATTGGAAAGGAGAACTTAAAGGTTAACATATATTGCGATCCCTTCATCGCGGAGGCAAGCCATCTTTTCTCTGCAGCTTACGAAGCCACGGCGGGTCCCAGCGGTTTCCACCTTCTCTTGCCTGTTTGCATAGCTGCGCAAGATGGGGCATTAGCTGGTGATTGCTCACAGCAGCGATCTATGCTGGTGTATCAGCTCGAGAAGTTTGAGTTGTTTTGTATCTCGAGTTGTTTCGTATCTCTCCATAGACTCGGGAGAGATACAAAACAACTCAAGTGAAGCTTATCTCAGAGCCAGATAACTTTGAAATTATTCATGCACCACACTCATTCGGAATGACACCTTTACTTGTTTCGTACTTTTCCTGTAATCTCTTTACCCCAGAGAAATGCTATTAGACACTGAAGTGATTTGTATTGATTCAAACAAAATGTGTGATCCACCACATCTTGCAGTTGTACATATTCGCCATAACGTTTTCGACAGAGCCGAAGATTACTTTCTACTCAACCTAATAAATTTATGACGTCCATGTTGCCGTACAAAAGATAACAACCAATAAATGAAGCAAATAAAAAGCATCGATGGTCGAAGAATTTCGCTTAGCATTACGATCTTTTTCCTTCCAACCTTTATCACCACACCAAGTCATCGCTAATGATGCCCATAGACTATGAATTTCACTAATTTTGTAGAAATGGGTCAAAACCAATTTCTAGTCTTCGCGAACGGACTATCACCCAGATACGACCATTCCAAACAGCACCTTCATCGAAATTTACTTTTTGTCGAAGAAGTACAATAATGAATTTTGTTTTCT